CTGATGAAGCTCCATCCATCAGGCCCACCAATCAGTGCCCTCCACCCCACCCCACCCCCACAACCCCTAATTTATCTGAAAAAGGGGTATCTGAACATACAAAAATGGTTAATGCTCAAAAACTATTAAACGTAAGAGCTTCAGATTTCTTTTGTTGTTTAGCTCTGATGAAGTTCTATCCATCAGGCCCACCAATCAGTGCCCTCCACCCCCCGGACCTCCAAATTTATCTAAAAAAGGGGTATCTGGACATACAAAAATGGTTATAGCTCAAAAACTATTAAACGTAGGAGCTTCAGATTTCTTTTGTTGTTTAGCTCTGATGAAGCTCTATCCATCAGGCCCACCAATCAGTGCCCCCCACCCCACCCCCACAACCCCTAATTTATCTGAATAAGGGGTATCTGAACATACAAAAATGGTTATTGCTCAAAAACTATTAAACATAGGAGCTTCAGATTTCTTTTGTTTAGCTCTGATGAAGCTCCATCCATCAGGCCCACCAATCAGTGCCCTCCACCCCCCGGACCTCCAAATTTATCTAAAAAAGGGGTATCTGGACATACAAAAATGGTTATAGCTCAAAAACTATTAAACGTAGGAGCTTCAGATTTCTTTTGTTTAGCTCTGATGAAGCTCTATCCATCAGGCCCACCAATCAGTGCCCCCCACCCCCCGGACCCCAAATTTATCTGAAAAAGGGGTATCTGGACATACAAAAATGGTTATAGCTCAAAAACTATTAAACGTAGGAGCTTCAGATTTCTTTGGTTGTTTAGCTCTGATGAGGGGCTATCCATCAGGTCCAATCCCCCACCCCCCATCCAAAAAAAAGAAGACCCCCACCCAAACCACTACAATTTTGTGATGCATCTGGTAGCATGACATTTATTAGGAATAAAGACTTCTGAGTTCTGGTGCATTTGTGCGTGCGGGGGTCATTGTGTTACCGCTATGCGGTATCTAGTTTATTCACCAGATAATTTAGAAGCGGTCTGTTCGGTTTCGCCACTCCAGGAGCTGCAAGCTGACTATTTTTTTTTGTTCCGAGCCCAGGTTACACCGCRGTCAGTTTAACGAGCTGCTGACCCACAYCAGTGCTGMTATCTCCAGCCAGAACACCAACTGCAGATGATCAATTTCAGCTAATGAGCTCCTGTCCWTCTGYTTCGGGTTCAGGAAACCGTCACGTGGAACAAATTATTCTCCCTGATTGGTTGCTGGGGCACGTCGAGCAGCGAGAGTTCAATTTTTTTAACTCGAGCAGCGGCTGCTTTGGACGCGCCGCATGCACGGAAAACGCTCTGCTACATCCTACCGCTACCTTGCACACGGTGCTTAACTGGCAAAACACGCCTAGATGTGCATCCACCATAGATTTTGCATGTAAACTGGCTGCTTTGGCTGCTCAAAGTGCGTCCGGTGTGTTCCCGGCTTTATTGTGGTTGCCATTTGCCTGTGGTATTCCAAAGTACGTATAGCTTTCCTCAACATCTGCTATTCACCCTTCTGAGAGTGCAATTCCCTCCGTGTGGATTACCTTCTCTCTCTTTGTTACTGTCCAGCCACATTTCTCTTATCTCCCTGCTGTAGGTCCTGGTGGCATGGATAAGTGAGTCAATGTCTTGCTCACTCTTGGCGTACAGCTTGATGTCATCCATGACGGCTCAGTGGTTAGCATCGATGCCCCACAGCAAGAAGGTCCTGGGTTTGATCCCCGGTTTGGACCTGGGGTCATTCTCTGTGGAGTTTGCATGTTCTCCTCGTGCTTGCGTAGGTTTTCTCYGGGTACTCCGGTTTCCCCCACCACTAAAAACATGTACAATAGGTTGCCTTCAGGCCCGGGCCGCCCTTGAAAAAGAGATCTCAGATCTCAATGGGACTTGCCTGGTAAAATAACGGTAAATAATTAAAAAAAAAATATATATATAGGGGAGGTGACTGGGGAGGTGGCCCCATTTCTGAGTCGGTATCCATAGCCAGTCTTGTTGATTATTTGGCTGAGGGTGTTCAGGCTTATGCAGAACAGCAGTGGGGACTGAGCGTCTCCTTGGTGTAGCCCACATTTGATGGAAATTTGTGCAATGGGCTTTCAATTGACCTCAAGGATGGTTTTCTACAGCCTCATTGAGCTTGCARTGAAGGCCCTCAGAGTGTTGTTGACCTTGTACAGCTTCAGACATTCCAGGATCTGTGTGTGTGGCATTGAGTCGAAGGCTTTCTTGTAAATCAGTCCAGGCAATGCACAGGTTTGTTTGTCTGGCTTTGCAGTCATGGGTGACTGTTCTGCAGATATATAAGGTATGTGTGTGAAAAAAAATGTTTTGATTAAAATAGGATTTGTATACAGTATGATTTTAAAGTAATTATTTGTTTACTCTTGGTTTTACTTTTCTCTGAAGACRTTCAGCTTTTATCAAATATCAGCTGCAGATCGCTTCCCTTGAAAAAGAGCACTCAATGGGTTATGCCTGTATAAATAAGGGTAAACAAATAAATTAAGTTAAATTCATTAGGAAAGTATGAAACCATGTAGTATTTAGCGAACATTTCATAGGATTCATTGTTTGTTGTTTTTATTTTTTCTCAAATAGATTGTTCAAGTTTAAGTTGTTTGTTTGAAGATGTTTTTATTTAAAAAAGGGGGCAGATATAAGATTTTTTTTCTTCTTTCTGCCTTTTCATTCAATACTTGATTTACTTTGTTTTTTTAATGGACGTTTTGTTGTTTTTATGAATGAAATAAAAGAATAAATAAAAAAAAAAACACTTTGATGGCATCTATGATTCACCAGTGTTACAGACCTGTATATTTTGTGTTGCTTTTTTAATTGAAGTTTTATTTAGGGCAGCATGGTGGCTCAGCTGGTAGAGGTATTGCCTCCCAGCGAGAAGGTTGTCAGACTGAACCCTGACCAGGGTCCTTTCTGGGTAGAGTTTGCATGTTCTCTCTGTGCATGGATGGTTTTCTTGGGGTACTCCATTTTCTTACCACAGACCAAAAACTTGACTGTTAGGTTAAATGGTAACTCTAAATTGTCCTTAGGTGGGAGTGAGAGAGTGAATGGTTATATAACTTGTTTGTCTCTATGTGATGGACTTGCAACCTGTCCAGGGTGTACTCTGTCCCTTGCACAGTGATCGCTAGATATGGGACCATGTGAGCCTGGAAGAAAAAAATAATGGATGGATAGAAGTTTTATTAAGTTGGTTTTATTTTTAAATGGATTTTTATGCATTTATTATTTTTTAATGAAATTTTAAAATTTTGTTTTGTAAAGACGTGACAGAGTTAAAAAAATATACATGCATACATGGAGGATTCAGTAACACTATGTGCTTTCTCTTTCAGACGTGGACGAATGTGGCAATGACTACAATGGGGGCTGTGTCCACGAATGCATCAACATACCAGGAAACTATAGGTGCACCTGCTATGATGGATTCATGCTGGCCCATGACGGACACAACTGTTTAGGTATGTATGACCTTTTTTGTGTAACTATAACTATAACTATAACTATAACCCAGAGGTTATTTTAAGTTTTCTGAAAATTATGAAACGGTAATCTAAACACACTGATAGTTTTCACTTGAGGACAAACTAGAGTCATTTGGTCTTAGSAGGTTTTCCATTTACAAATCCAATTCCAGTATAAATGAAATGCAGTAAAAATGATTTGCAAATGCYACAAATCCATATTTCATTCAAAATGGAACATAGTAAACATAATAAACATTAAAACTAAAAACAGACAGAGGATGGCTTTCATTCCAATGTGAGGCAGGCAGGGGTCATACACAGGAGAGTAGAGATCAGATGACAAATTCAGAGGAGTAAACTAAGGTATTCWAGATCCAGAATAGATGTTGACCGGCTGATATTCTGGGACAATATTTTGTGTTTTTTCTTGTATTGGCATCAGCTGAATCATAAGCGCATTCGGCAGCCATTCCTTGAGATCACTGCATGCTTTGCTGCTCAATCCCTGGCAGAGAGCAGCTGGTAATGTTGTAGCTAAGACTGAGTGCCAACAGCAAGGGTAAGTTTTCAACTTTTATTGTATTTTAACTGCCTAATTTAGCTGTAGCCTATCTGCCCTTTGAAAGTCTGTCTTTCTCTGTGAGAGGAGGGAWCAGTGCTGTCTGTTTCACTCAGAACAGGTTGGAGAAGTCAACAGAGTGGTGTGTTTTTACTTTCTTTTGCTCTTCCAGTGAAAATGATGTGTCAAGGTTTTTTTTATGGTGGTCAATTTACCACATCCAGTGTTCTACAAATAAGACTGCATGCAAATTTGGGCAGGAGGATGTGTCCCGAATGCCTACCAACCAGGCGTGTAAACAATTTTTTTTTATATGGGCATTAGATTGAAAATTTCTGAAAATAAATTAGGAAGAATAGCATTTTAAAACCGGTAGACTGATAAATCATAAATTTTCCCTCCCTCCCGCTGTACGGCACGCATAAAAGCCTCCAGGTAAGGTCTTTTCAG